CGAGACTGGTCTTTTTAGCACCTGATTCAGGCTTCTTAAAGGAATAGTCTAGGTTAAATACAAGTTGTGTTGTGTGTTTCTATGCCTTTTGCTGCCTGGTCATTCTTGCTAAGAGGTTTTTATAAATAGTTCACAAAACCCTGCATCTTATTAAATAACCACTTATAATCCAGTATAAAACCAATTCCCTTCAGTCAGTTTTTTTTTTTACATGGTTAAAAAAAGGTTACTTTTGAACCATACCTCGATTTACAAATGAACAAAATGTGATGACATTCATTGTGTACTTGCCCCATTAGCTTCCATTGTAAGTGCATTTTTTTCTTGTTTTTTATATTGTTAGTGAGGTATAAGTTGCCATCACTTTGTGTCATTCAACCGTAACTGGCACCTAATGTGACATTTTCAGAAAGACGTAACCTGGGTAACTATTTAAAATCAGCATGCACTGCACAAACAGTGGCTCATGGAAGAGTCATTCTGGCAGAAAGGCACACACGCTTTAGCCTAATCCTGCCCAACCGCATTCGCCGGAAATGGGAGGCTGTGAGGGTGGTGGAGGCTCTTGTTTAAATATGTGAGTCAAGTGCAAGACATCCCTCCCTTCTGTCTGAATTCTGCAATGTGGTAAAAAAGGCAATGCTCAACACAAGCCACAGCCCTGGAACACCATCAGATTCCCAACGTTTATTGATAGCATCGACTGAAAAAGCAACTGAATTTGTTTGTGCAGGAGCTGGAGCAAAAAGAAGATGGCTTCTTAGTCATTTTGTCCTCTCTCTGCTCCACCCAACATTATCATATCATCTCCTCACATTTGACATACAATCCTGCTCGGACCCTCCAGGGGATCTAAATAGATGGGTGAGAATTTAATAACGTGATAAAGATACACTTTAGTGTCTGTCCAGCACTATGAGGTCACAGTGAAAGAATCTAATGGTAGCTCATGTGGGCCATCAGGACAGAAGATGAAGTGGACTTCTGGCTCTCTAGGAGAAAGACAGATGGTGCATCAGACAGTTGATGTTTATGTAGAGTTAAACCATGAGACAGTAGAAGTGTGACCACTGTAAACATTCGGTTCATACCCATAATCCCTAGCCATGTGTCTATCTCCTCAGACTACCATGCGCTATGGATAATTCAACATTAATAATTATATATTATATCAATATTAATTATATTGATATAATATTTCTATAATATATCATATAAATATTAAAATTATAATAATGTAATCTATAATGTTTAATAATAATAATCTATCATTTAATAATAATAATAATCATTATTATTATATTTAGTGGTGTTTGTATTGGTCATATGCCTTTCGAAACCCTTACTAACCTATATATATTTGTAAATTATATAAAAATATTTTTTCATCATTCCCTTATAATCATTCTTTTTCCTCAAAAATAAGTTATTTTTAAATAGTTACTCATCTGTCCTTTTCAATATGATAATAGTAAATATCCTTGAGCTACGTTTTTATTTTTGTAAGCCATTTGGAGTTTTGTATAAAAATACACACACACACACAAACTATTTAAAAATATCTAACAACAAGTAACATCAAAACCAGATTGGTTTAAAATGGCTGTTAATCTGTCCACTGTAGTGGACAACATGCAAAAAAAAAAAGAGCTGAATTTCAAATTTCACTGGTGGAGTGACAGTGTGTCCGAATCTGTGGCAGCTGCTCTTCTGCGCTGCCAGAGAGTTGTTAATACGCCGCACACACACCCTCCTCAACACAGGTGAGTGAGTGAAAACAAACACCTAAGACACAACACATTCTCAAGATATGTATAATGAACCTTTAGCCCAACACATTCTGGTGGCCTAATGAGATCCCCAACTGTCAGTGTGCGCACTTCCATTGTACAATGGAAATGAGCTATTGTTACAGCAGGAAACACCTTGCTCAACAAATAGGTTTTGAGAAAAGGCACGTTTTTACCAGCAAACAATAAATGTTACTCAACTGAATCATATTACACAACCAGTGGAGATGTCTTTCAGGCAGAGCCACTACAAGAAATGTCTGAGCGTTTGTCAAGTTAAGTCACCTATATATAGCGCTTCATACAACATAGATTGTTTCGAAGCAGATTCACAGTAATCAACTGGAAAATGACAGAATCAATGATGCAAACGTTGTCAAATATGAGAGAAATCTGCTGTAAAGCAGCCCTAAAGAGACAATAGTGTCATTATTCAGCTTAAGTCATTCTTCTGTTAATTCAGTTCAGTTCAATGACTGATTAAAGTTAATTCATTATTAAACCAGTTCAATTCAGCTACAGACAGCTCTACAGAATACAATAGGGTTATTATTTAGATTAAGCCAGTTCAATGTTGATTCAGTTCAGTTCACTAGACCTTAGTTGTCTAAGTGTATCGCCATATTTAATTTTTGTCACAGGAATGAAAACGAGGCTATGACGGATAGACGTGCAGTGTGTTCAATGGATTGTACTGTTGTTCAGCTGACAAAATGTCTTTCCAAAAAAACTTTCAGTAGACAAAAACTATTTTGAAAGTTGTGAAAATTGCGTGATCTAAGACCTTAATACTGTTTTAATCCACATCAAATTCAATAGCCTACGGTGTCTAACCTCATTCTCGCGAACCTGTTTGTTATTAATGCGACCGCAGGACGTTTTCAATGGCTCTTGGGCAGCCATATCAGAGATTGTCTATATTAGCTATGTTTCCATCACCCTCTCCTATCTGTTTTTCATGCCCATTTTGATGTTTCGCATCAGAAACAAGTGATGAAAATGCCAAATTTAAAGGATTTGATTCAAAAGTGAGTTTTGGGCAGTGTAGAGTAGCACTTGTTGTTTGTCATTACTCTGATCACAAATGCAGACATGGTTTTATGTTTACGCGGCGCGATGCAACGCAACATGTAAAAAGACAGTATAAGTCATTATAATCCGTAATTATGTCCCCACTGGATGCAACAAATGTCTCGTTTATATAGAGTTTTAATGTTTTGTCTCGTCGCTCCAGCCGGGACACGGCAGCACAATATGGTGAGGGGCGTAACATTTCTGTCACACACTTGAGGTATTCGGCCAATCACAATGCTCTGGATAGCTGGCCAATCACAGCACACCTCGCTTTTCAGACCGATGAGCTTTGTAAAAATCAACACGTTTCAGAAAGGCGGAAGAAACTATAATGTACAGTATGTGGAAAATAATGTGTTTTTTTAACCTTAAACTGCATAAACACATTTCATTACACCAAATACACAAAACAATGTTCTTTTTAGCAGCATCATATGACCCCTTTAAGTGGAGGGATGGAAAGCGAGCACAAGCTTTCTTGGAGAGAGTTCTGGCCTCGGTGAGAACACGATCCTCTCCTCTTCCTCTCTTGGTTCAGATCAGGACGGCTTCTGAGACACAGGGTCCAACGTCCCTCTGGGGCGGGGACCTTGGCGCTTCTGAAACGGGTAGAGTTTCACCATCCGGGGGCGCTGCTGGAGCCCAGGCTCAGTTTTAGTCTGGGGCTGAGGTGGCACTGGCTTGGCTGGCTGCTGAGTGGATGGAGCCTTTTGGTGACTTGAACCAGCCGCCGCACCGGAGCGCTTTGGCAGGAAGTGACACATTGCCTGCGATGATTTCTCTGCCGCTGTAAACTGCTTTGTAAACCCAGAAGGAAATCAATTTCCCCCTGAAGGAAATCAAGCCACTCACAGCTGACGAGGGGCACTGATCCTCACGTGTGAAGCACACAGGCGAATCGAGGCGTTGGGAGGAGCCAGGTGTTAAAGCCTTGCTGCTCCGCTGCTTCTTTCTCCTAAATGTTGCTCAGAGCCAACTTATATTTCTGCCACAATTAAGCAAGCCAAAGTAGCAGTGGCAAGGAAACCAAACTCCATCAGGAGATAAAAATGGAAAAAAAAGCTTGGAAGAAACTGGGCTCAGTTCTGCTCTGGTATGTCATCATAACCTTCCTGAATTATGAACTGTAAACTTGACATACTGCCAGGGTGTGACCCAAACCCATATGTACAGTATTCCGACCAGATGTGGCAGTTAGATTGGATAGCTCATAAAGCATGAGAATGATGTCATTCCTAAAAGAGGGCTGTCGGCCACCCAGCATGTGATGAGCTACCCATATCCTCTGCCAGATCGGTCAGCTGACCAAGCTGTATCCAATTAGCCAAAGCTGAGTGAACTTCTATGAGTATAAAACAATAAATGTTCATGTTGTCTGTCAGTATCACTAACAAATAGTTATAAAGTCCGGACTCAGAAAACTCATCCAATGGGAGCTTTACAAGCAAACAGCATGACTCATTCATTCAAGCAGACAGGCGCTGTGCAGAACAAGCTCTTGTTAATGCATTTTGCGGAGGTGGTTCACCACAGATGTTTAAACATTGGTTTGAAACAGTGAAGGTCAAAGGTTAAAAAAACCAACAAAAGATCTGAGACCAACTTTAAATAGCAAAGGGAAATGAGCTCTGTGGTGTGGGTTCCTCTTTCAAGTTCTGCCGTAGATCCAGTTTTTATAGATCAGAAGAAATTTCAGTCGTTATGAGTATAAAATGCTAAAGGTGTGACAAATGCACAAGTATTGCAATTTTCTGTCAAGGAAGTACAATTTCATGATGACGCAAGCAGATAATGCAAGGTGAGAATTTGCAAGTGATGGGTGTGTTTGTGAAAGAGTGTTTATCGTCAATGTAACATGGCCACAATGCAGATCACACACAGGATACAGGTGTATGTCACATGAAAGACATCCTTGGAATTGAAAGCAGGAGGCAGACTAGACTAGACTTTTTTTTTATGCCAAAACGTAGACATTACAGCATTTGCTACTCCGGTTTTCAAAAATATCTTTGAAATGGGAAGCCGGTCCTAACTGCTCTGATGAGGAAATGACTCATTGCATCACACTGGAATCTTCCTCCTTGGGAAAATAATGAGCATACAATTCTCAAAAGAAATTACAATAACTTGGTCTTTTATATAGAGGTTTTATTATTTGCCTTAATTTCTTGTCCGAGCGTTTTAAAAATACTCCATACATACAATGAGGAAGCAACTACTTTGTCTTATAGAGGAGGGTGCTGAAATTAAATAAACAGAAAAGTAACTAATTCACATTTCATAATTTGCACAGCTCAATAACAGTGTTAACGTTTTACTGGCCAAAATTATAATTTTCTCTAACAGAAAAGAAAAAAAGCTTAAAATATGACTTTTCATAAAGTTTGCTGAAATATACATTCTAACACTGTCCTGAACATCAAAATACAAATAATATTTCCAAAAATATCAAAATGCATACCATTGTGATATATTATTTAGATTTTCAGTCTACCACTGTTCAGTACTCACTTACTGAATAGACACGGATTACTACTGCTTCTTTTAATAAATAAAATATTACATCAACATACAACACAGAGACTTTCAAATACATTGCCAGTGCATTAGGGCTGGACAAGGTTGGTCTAAATCCAAATAAATATTAATAGATATATACACGCATACATAAATAAATAAATTAAAGCATAGCCAGCAATGATTAAATACACAGTGCACAAGACATGAACAAAACTGCTTATTTGTAAGAATACTTATTTCAGGCAGAGCTTCTTCAGTACTAGAAAAAGCCTCGTCTCTAAAACTCAAACTACATTCCCAACCCCGAAGAGTTCCTTCTCATTCTGTATCGAACAGCTCAGTGTCTCTTCCTGACCGAGTCTGTCTGTCAGAGTTCTAGTTCGTGGCAGGTTTTGCGCTCTCCTGCGAACCATTTAGAGAGTCCTTCGTGAGTCAGGCCCTTCACAGAGGCACCATGACTCCTGCCAAACAAATGCTATCACTCTATCCTCCTCTCCAGCACACTGTACCCTCTGCTCTTTGCCACTTAATTTTGAGGTAGAATTTCCACACGGTTGCCCTGAAATAAAACAAGAACCCAGATGTCAGGCGACTTGAGTCAAATCATGCTGGATGATTTTATGCAGTATGTACCAATGGATGACTTCACTCACCGTTCTCTCCAGTCTCATTTAGTGGTGTGGGGCGGCTCCCAGTTTAACTTTCTCCTCATTTTCCACATTATATGCACCTTGCTTGTGAAACCTAGATGATAAAAAGATTGACATTATGATAGACTGCAGACATCTAATTGCTTATAGAAATTAAAGTGTGAGATTAAGTACAAACCTGAGTGCCAGCATCAGTCCAATGATGGTGAGACATAACGAAGAGAGAACCACGGCCACCACAGCAAGGGCCGTAGTGCGGCTATACACTCCCTCGTTCTTCTTTAATTCCAGGGAGAAAAGGTGGCATCGCTCTCCCGAGTAGCCCTGGTCACAACTGGAGAAAAAACAGCCATTGATTCTCTTAAACGATAAAACAGCAACAATAAAACGGTAGCAACAAATTACAGGAGAAATGGTTTAAAGGAAGTGCTTACATGCATGAGGGCCCCTTTAAGTCCCTGAGATACTGGCAGGTTCCGTGGATACAAAAGTCCTTGTACTTTTTTAGACATGGATTCCTTTTCTTGCCTCTTCCCTTCTTCCTTCCAAGCCCCTTCCTCTTCGAGTCTTCAAGTTTCTCTGCATTCAAAACTGCACTCGGGTCTTTGGGTTTGCTTGAAAACGCAACTGTTTTGGTGGGAAAAGAAGAGGAAATGTACAGTTATTCATACTAAAACTGAAACCACAGCACCAATGAAAACCACAAAATCTGTGACAAATTGCTTATGCTCCTCTATTGCAAGTCATTTGGGATAAAAGTGTCCGCTAAACATGTACATTTAAAATGAATTACCTAATGGCACCTCGTAATCCCCTGAAAACTCATCCTCTTCATCGTCATAGTAATACTCGTCTTCCTCCTCATACTCCACTTGCTTGTTGTCCACAGTAGATCTCTTCTCATTCAGTGCCTCCAAAAGATCAATTACAGCTGTCTGTGCAGGCCTCTCGCTCTCAAACCGCTCTATAGACGCACCGCTCACTGATGTGACAGCCACTGAATGGGAAAACATAGTGAATAGCCATTAAAAATTCATCCGTCAGGCTGATTGATTGTTTATGGTTATGCAGTGGATTGCTGACTACATTGTAAATGATAAACTAACTGGTGTCTCAATTTTATCTTATTTATTTAGTTATTAACGCATAGAGCCCACTAATATTAAAGAGCCCACTATAAACTAATATTTCCCTTTTAACTAGAATAGTTTGTTTACTTCACGATCTCGAGGCTGACCTGCAAATAAGCTCGTTTTATAACTAATAATAGGTTGTGTGCATTACCTAAAGTCCCTAGAGGGTGCAAAGGGACTCGTTTACAAAAATCTTGCATGCACAGACACTGAGCTAACGAATGAACGCATGGGACAAAAATAAATATATCCCAGAATATTCTTAAAACAGAATGACATTGTTGACCCATTAATAGATTCACTGGCAAATCTAAAGTTTTGAATGGTAAAAAAAAAAAAAAAAGAAGTCATGTTAGGAATTTTCACACAATCTATTGGTAAAAACGAAGCTTTTTTTTTAATCAAAAACGGAATTATTTTATATTTAATTTTATATTTCTTATATAACTAGCGCACATGGTTGTAATGCGACACCCTTCAGCAACAAGCCACGGTGTGTCAGATACTCACCGATGGTAAAGGCGAAAAGACGCAAAATAGTTAAAAACTTCATATTTTCCCTTCTGGTAATAACGACGATAGATTCAGCTGTTAAAAAATAAAATCCTTCCCGCTCTGTTAATTCCTTTGAAGCCACCGCAGATTGTTACTTCGTGTCTTCGCGTGTTACTTTGTTACTGTGAGCGTCTCTCGAGCGTCAAGGTTAAAAAATCAGCCGCGTCTCAGTGACTGTCATTTAAATATGACTGTGGCCACGCCCACCAGAGCTGTAACAGATTGTGTATCAGGACAAATTCCTTTGATAAGTGTTTTATTAGCTGTTTTATTGGTCTACACCTCTTTTTTCTTTTTTCTTTTTCTAGTTTTAACCCTCCTACTACGCTAAAGACCTACACCCACCTGTGATCGTCTGGCCTACACTGTAAACTATTAAAAATGCAAGACTTTTTGAATGGAGCACAAAGGGTGCTTTTATCTTTCTCTTTTTCTTTTCTATTTATTTTATTTAATATTGATGAAGTAACAATTGTTTGTTTTTCCTGGCTAACTTCACTTTTGGCATTTCATAATATCTCCCATATTTTATGACAAATATATTCTGGTATTAGTAAAGAATGTAGATACAATTTTAACATATTTCACAAATAAATTGCCATTGTGTTTAGAGCAGTCAATACAGGCTCGCTTTGAACATCCATCGCAACAAATATTTTTATCAGCATTCTTTACTGAAATGATCCAAAGACAATAAAAGGTTAAAAACAACACCTGCCATAGCGTTGACCACGAGTTTGAAGTAATAAAGTGAACATAATATTATGTCATTATAACTGCATTTGGAGGAGAGCCATGCAAGTGATCAGCACATTGAGGGAGAAGATTTATGTAAAGCATATTGAATTTTCTTTCAAAACATGTTCACGTTTAAACAGACATTAACTAATGATCTGATAATGATATGAATGTTTTAATGAAAGTTATGGTTCAAAACTACAGATTTTGAATAATTCTGTGATTAAATGAACGAGAACGTGTATGAACAAACATTAAATTGCTTTATGGGTTGAAATCGAACAAATCAACTATCCTTAATTATTTTTAATCCTTGACATCCTTAACCACGATTGCATTCTTTCATAATCACACCGAGTGTAGTGTCTTTTGGTAATGTATCACAAAAAGTATTTTTTTTAAACACTCAAGTTGTCTTAAAATCCTAAAAATATTACTTTCATCAGAGAAGTCTTTCCCTGGTTTTGGATGCACAACACTGAACAGTAAGCATCAAAACAGCATATGGTCAATGTTTCACTATTTAAATAAGCACAACAGCGTTCGCTACTGCCATCTAGTGGAAACATGAAACTCTCGCATAGAGAGTCCAACCAAAATGCACACAGAATTGGTTAATTTTAAATTTGTTTAAAGGGGTCATATGATGGTGCTAAAAATAACATTACTTGGTGTATTTGGTGTAATGAAATGTGTTTATGCGGTTTAAAGTTAAAAAAAAAACTTATTTTCCACATACTGTACATTATTGTTTCTCCTCTATGCCCCGCCTTTCTGAAACGCGTCGATTTTTACAAAGCTCATCGGTCTGAAAAGCGAGGTGTGCTGTGATTGGCCAGATATCCAGTGCGCTGTGATTGGCCGAATACCTCAAGCGTGTGACAGAAATGTTACGCCCCTCACTATACTGTTGCTGCCCTGTCCAGCCGGAGCCACGAGACAAAAACATTAAAACCCATTACAAACGAGGCATTCGTTGCATCCAGTGGGGACATAATTACGGATTATAATGACTTATACTGTCTTTTTACACGCGCCGCGTAAACATAAAACCATGTCTGCATTTGTGATCGGTGAAATTACAAACTACAAACGCTACTCCACACTGCCCAAAACTCGTGTTTGAATCATCAGTGGCAAATGATAAATGAAAACGTACTTGCGTGAGTCAGAACTGCCGACATTTTAGTCTAACGTTACTCTCCCAGGATCAGGAAACAGTCCTCCATAAAATGTGCCGGCGATCCACAGCACTAAGTTGATGTATTTCCTCAGCGACCAGCACGGATCAGCTCCAGGCATGACGAAGTGGATATCGTCCTCTTTTGGAAGACCAAACAAAGTAGCTTCACTTTCACAACAAAAAACACAGCGCCTTCACGACATGGCTGCGGCGGCAACAACAATACTACAGCGAGAATAAAAGTTACGCCTTCTTTCTTTGCGTGAACATTTGGGCGGCGTTATGCAAATATTTCCACATAGTGAGGTAGATATGTGGGGGCGTGTTAGAACGAGCCGTTTTAGGAGGGCGTGGCTGACTCTTAACTTTTATAAAGAATATCTCTTTGGATTTGAGACTTTAGTGTTTGCAACTTTACAGATCTTCTTTATGCACCAAGAGCTTGTAACACTCCAAAGAGAAAGGAAAAATTGAAATCGCATCATATGACCCCTTTAACTTTAAAATGTTTAAAATGTGTCTGTCCATGTGTGGGTACGTTTTTCAATCTTTTTGTAATATTTGTAATTTTTTATTGATTTTTTTTTATTTTGTATCAAATTTGATTTCTGTATAATATCTTCGATTTTTTTTTAATGTATTTAATGTAAATTGCTGTAATTAATAATGATCTTTCTCATTTATTTAAACTGATGTCTAAATACAGACCTATGTTTTGAAATAATTCTGTTCGATCGCCGATCGATTTATCTCCCCTAGCGATCAAAACCGATTGCTCTGGTCTCGAGTCACATGTTTTGACAAGTAAACATGGCGGACGAGGATCCAAACGCGAAAGTTGCATGCGAAGACGTTCCTGCAAAAGAAGAAGAACCAGAGGCTACGGAACCTGGGCAAAATGATGTGGTCAACGATACCGACGAGGTCCAGAAGGACAAACGGGCAGACAGCTCTTGGTCGGCGCCGATTTTGTCGTTTGCTCGTAAAGCGACGGAGACGCTGAGCAGTGGAGTGAATCACTACAGCGCGGGGTTAAAGGGATCGGACACATCACAACACACCTCTGACACCTCAGATCCCCTAAAAACAGCAGGTACGACACCTGTTATCACTTTCATTTTTAAATATAGGGAGAAGAAAGTTAACTGACTGCGCCCTACTTACTAAGATAAGTAGTCAATAACAGAATTAACTAAAAGTACAACGATATTGCCATATTTTTGGAAATGGTATCATGGTATTATGGTATTATTGCCATAATATTGTATATAAATATACATGCACAGTAGTTTTTTGGGTCCTGCACCCACAGCGTAAATTGGTACGTCATGGACCTGAAGACATGCAAATTTCACGTTCAGATCGCCACGAATATATAATGTAAGGTGTGCATTTTTACTAGGGCTGTGCGCCTAGCAACAGAGGGGTTAAGAAGACGCTAGAAGATCTGTTAAGCTTTCCTGTTTAATCACTTTCCTCTGTCAATCAACCTTTTTACAAAATCTTGCTTTTTTGTATAACTGTATGTTATGTAATTTGTGGAGCAAATGTGCTACTGTAAATAGGCCTGTCTCGATAACAACTTTTTGTTGTGCGATATATTGCCCCAGAAATAATTGCGATAAGCAATATTATTGTCATTTTAAAGACCATTTTATGCCACTGAATATATAATCATAATGTAATAGCATAATAATGCAAGAAGGCCTACACGCTTCCAAATGACAACAAACTTTTAATTTTTAAGAATATTTAGATCATGGAAATTATCAAAATATAAGAAACCTTAAAAAACTTGAATAAATAGTAAATAAACATTTTTTTAACAAAAAGTGCAAAGTAACAAGTAGAAAAATGAAAAATGCACAAAGAAGTTGCATGGAGATTTTTCCATCTACAGATTTTTCTCTGACCTTCTTTTCTCTGTAAATTAAGTGTGCACACTATTGCTGAAAAACACAATCACTACTCAGCAGTCAGATGTACGTATGCACAAAGGCACAGATCCCTAAACAAGATCATATCTGCAGATTAAACTTTGTTTGTAGAAGCATTTTTTAAATTTGAACTAACACCTCATGACCACACCACGCTATGTACGAGAAGACTCAGGCGCAAGTGGAATGTACAAAACATGGTGACATTAATTTTTAAGTAAATATAATGGGCGCTATATTGCGTCACCAAAAATTATGGAGGTCATGTACATATTTCGCGCGATAAGTTCATATATTGATTATTGCGACAGGCCTATGCGATATTCCGATTATTTCGATATATTTTTACCATAAAGTTTTAAATAAATTTTATATAGTTTTTGCCGTTTGCTTAAATAGAGCCGTGGGAAACTACAGATATCGCATGCAGTGTCATATCTTAAGGGTTTTCAGTCTTTTAGGTGCCAGCTACTGCATCTATGAATAAATACCCAGTTTTGGTCTGATAGCAATTAATATTAAAATAAAAATATGTGCAGTATATTGTGTGATAAGTACTTAGTTTTTATTCCATTATAACTTTTTTCAACTTATTATACTTGGCTGTGTATTATTTGAATGTATTTTTTAATTATTCAATGTTTAATCATTTATAATAAATTAATTATTTGTCATTTACTCTTTATTTGAATCAACTTTTCAGTTATGTAAGTCTTATTTATTTTTATTTAATAAAGAAATGTAGTTTATTGTATTTGTTGTTACTTTTTTAATATAATCAAATTAGTATTTATTTAGTTTAATCATGTTTACTATTTGTTTATTTTCTTACACTGATTTTTTCTAAACTTTTCTGTGGACCCCCAGCTCCCCCTTGCATCTCACTGGGGGTCAGGACCCCTGTTTGAAAACCCCTGTCATGCTTGACATGAGCAAATAATAATTGCATGTGTATTTTCTTGATGAGAAATATGAAACTGCATGAGTAAAAATTAATTATATAGCGTATTAAAGTATAAATATTCAAAAATATGACATGCCAAACTACAGAACACCGCGGACACTGCTTGAAATGTCATGTCAGCTGCCCAAATACTATGATATATGAATATAGTAAAAATTCTGTTCTATAGTAAATGACAAAGAACCATGATGTTATCATCTGATAGCAGCACTGTTCCATCAAACAGTACAGTTTTGTAACAGAGATCTGTAAGTGCACCATTCAAAAGAATGTACAGGTTCAAGTGATTGCATCCCACAGGTTAGTGTATTCATGAGCTCAATCCTTGCAACTTCTATCTGGCCATTATCTACTGTGATTAGGAATTCATGAGTATAATAAATTACTTAAAGGGGTCCTATTATGCTCTTTTACAAAGTCTCGATTTTGTTTTGGGTGGGTACTAGAACAGGCTCTCATACTAGGTTGTTCGAAAAACACATTATTTTTCACATATTTTACATTATTACAACACCTCTCTCCCCAGTCTGGCATGAACGGCTCGAATAGTTCCTGTATCAAATGAAGGCCCGCCTTCTGAAATACGAAATGTGTTGTGATTGGTTAGCTGGGCCAGTGTGTGCTGTGATTGGTTAGCTGGGCCAGAGTGTTCTGTGATTGGTTAGCTGGGCCAGAGTGTTCTGTGATTGGTTAGCTGGGCCAGTGTGTGCTGTGATTGGTTAGCTGGGCCAGTGTGTGTTGTGATTGGCAGCACTCGGCGCCTGGTCGGGAAATGTCACGCCCCTTACCATAGCCGCATGCGAGCTTTAGTGTAAATATTGCGTCAATATCAAATCAATTTGAGCGCGATTTAAACCTGGATGTTTGTAACCACTCTTAAGTTCGTCTGCTTTGGGAAAGCTAGCGTGTTTAACACTCGTTGCCTTCTCTTGTGCAGCTCAACCAGGTCTCGTCCCATTCGTCAATATTTGTGATATCACAAATCCCGGAAAAATATGCGTTGTAGTCCAAACGAGCCGTTCGTTGTAGTTTTTGAAAAGTGATTTCTGTTAAATAAAATTTGAATTTGATTTTGAATTTTGTAAATTTGCAGATCTTTTTTATGCTCAAACAGCAACATTACAGACTAACTAAAGTTGAAAAAGTGAAAAAGCATAATAGGACCCCTTTAATACAGCCAGTGTTATATGGTGTAGAACATTTTAGTAACCTACATTTTTATTTTGTGGTATAATTCCAATATGAGATGTAATTCTAGACCATTACAGCATACATGAAATAAATAATGCACCTGCTTCCTGACTCTGAATATTATTTTCTCCAGCAGGAACTTCCGCTTCCCCTCAAGTTCATTTTAAGACTCTTTATTTGTTATTTTAAGTTACCGTAATATTTGTAAGTCATTGTTTTGCATTTACACTTAATTACCCTGACTCACCAGTTACACTAAGTGACAGTGAGCTGATTAGTCCTGCAGGTGCCACAGGAAGTGTTTGTGTTAATGCATCTGTGTTGTCCAGCTGTGAAGGATCCCATGGTGGTGGAGAGGTCAAACCTCCTCAGCATGATGAAGCTCAGCATTAAGGTTCTGATCCAGTCCTCCCTCAGTCTCGGTCGCACGCTGGACTCTGAATATCCACCTCTGCAGCAGTTCTTTGTTGTTCTGGAGCACTGCCTAAAACATGGGTTAAAAGGTGAGATGGGACATAAATCCTAAAAGTGAGTGTAGAATTATGAAATGTCGCTATATTCATGTAGGTAAATCTCACAAAAACAGGTCACGTTTCACCCCCAAAATCAAAAGAGAAGAATAAAAAATGATACATTTTCAAAAATATCTAAATATTTTAGATGCATTCATTTTCTTATTTTATTTTATCTTTATGAAAATAACGCATATTTACATTGTGACTTTCGTTGTGATGGTGCACATTTTCCACTCAAAATGTCATTACTGTTATTGCTGGACAATTTTATTTTCAGTTTGAGTTGATTCTCATTATTTTAATAGTCATTTGTATTATATAAAATTATACAGTACAGTAAAAATAAAATGCTGCATTACAATTATTAAAAAAAAAGAAACATTGCATACATTTCAGAGAGTACCACCATGATTTATAAATACTTGAGCAGTGATCTTTTAGTATCATTGATATACTGTTTTAGTTTTGGTTAATATTTTTGATTTAATTTTACATTTTCAGAAAATGAACAAATGTGAGATGAGAAATGTGGCTTTAGTTACTAGCTGAAACGAAAAACAAGTTTAATAAAAATTAAATACTTTATTTCAGTTGATGTTTATTTTATTCAAGCAATTCAAATGGTTTTATGTTTTAGTTAACAATAATAACCCTATTTCAGGGTTTTAATAATAAAGTAATTCAAAAAATTTTTTTTTTCGGGAGTGAGGGAAATGTGAGGGAATGATTTCTTATTTATTTGTTTTGATTTTGGAGTGTAAAACCTACATATTCATGACCAGTTTTGTGAAATTAACCCATTTATGGCCTAAATCCTGTGTCTGTCTCTCCTGTGCAGTGAAGAAGACTTTCATTGGTCAGAACAAGTCTATCTGGGCTCCTCTGGAGTTGATGGAGAAACTGTGCCCTGAGTCAGCTGACATTTCCACCAGTGTGCGGGATATGCCTGGAATCAAGTAGGTTCCCTTCAAAGGTGTTTGTCTTGGATATAATATCCTGTTCAAAACAGTGTAAGAGGAGAGCATGATTTGGTCTTCATGAGGTTCTGTGTTGTTTCAGGACAGGCCTCGGGCGAGCTCGAGCATGGCTGCATCTGGCTCTAATGCAGAAAAAAATCGCAGACTACATGAAAGAGCTTATAAATAGAAGAGACCTTCTTGGGTAAGAGCAATTAAATGATAGAAAAATTACCTTTTAATATTTAGACTTTTTTAAAAATCATACAAAATACAATACTGTAGTGCTATTGAATTCTGGGCTACCCAATGTAAATTCATGTCTCAGGGAGTTTTATGAGCCCGGGGCTCTTATAATGGAGGAGGAGGGGGCTGTGGTTGTAGGGATGCTGGTGGGTCTGAATGTGATCGATGCCAATCTGTGTGTGAAAGGAGAGGATCGATTTAAACCTGGATGTTTGTAACCACTCTTAAGTTCGTCTGCTTTGGGAAAGCTAGCGTGTTTAACACTCGTTGCCTTCTCTTGTGCAGCTCAACCAGGTCTCGTCCCATTCGTCAATATTTGTGATATCACAAATCCCGGAAAAATATGCGTTGTAGTCCAAACGAGCCGTTCGTTGTAGTTTTTGAAAAGTGATTTCTGTTAAATAAAATTTGAATTTGATTTTGAATTTTGTAAATTTGCAGATCTTTTTTATGCTCAAACAGCAACATTACAGACTAACTAAAGTTGAAAAAGTGAAAAAGCATAATAGGACCCCTTTAATACAGCCAGTGTTATATGGTGTAGAACATTTTAGTAACCTACATTTTTATTTTGTGGTATAATTCCAATATGAGATGTAATTCTAGACCATTACAGCATACATGAAATAAATAATGCACCTGCTTCCTGACTCTGAATATTATTTTCTCCAGCAGGAACTTCCGCTTCCCCTCAAGTTCATTTTAAGACTCTTTATTTGTTATTTTAAGTTACCGTAATATTTGTAAGTCATTGTTTTGCATTTACACTTAATTACCCTGACTCACCAGTTACACTAAGTGACAGTGAGCTGATTAGTCCTGCAGGTGCCACAGGAAGTGTTTGTGTTAATGCATCTGTGTTGTCCAGCTGTGAAGGATCCCATGGTGGTGGAGAGGTCAAACCTCCTCAGCATGATGAAGCTCAGCATTAAGGTTCTGATCCAGTCCTCCCTCAGTCTCGGTCGCACGCTGGACTCTGAATATCCACCTCTGCAGCAGTTCTTTGTTGTTCTGGAGCACTGCCTAAAACATGGGTTAAAAGGTGAGATGGGACATAAATCCTAAAAGTGAGTGTAGAATTATGAAATGTCGCTATATTCATGTAGGTAAATCTCACAAAAACAGGTCACGTTTCACCCCCAAAATCAAAAGAGAAGAATAAAAAATGATACATTTTCAAAAATATCTAAATATTTTAGATGCATTCATTTTCTTATTTTATTTTATCTTTATGAAAATAACGCATATTTACATTGTGACTTTCGTTGTGATGGTGCACATTTTCCACTCAAAATGTCATTACTGTTATTGCTGGACAATTTTATTTTCAGTTTGAGTTGATTCTCATTATTTTAATAGTCATTTGTATTATATAAAATTATACAGTACAGTAAAAATAAAATGCTGCATTACAATTATTAAAAAAAAAGAAACATTGCATACATTTCAGAGAGTACCACCATGATTTATAAATACTTGAGCAGTGATCTTTTAGTATCATTGATATACTGTTTTAGTTTTGGTTAATATTTTTGATTTAATTTTACATTTTCAGAAAATGAACAAATGTGAGATGAGAAATGTGGCTTTAGTTACTAGCTGAAACGAAAAACAAGTTTAATAAAAATTAAATACTTTATTTCAGTTGATGTTTATTTTATTCAAGCAATTCAAATGGTTTTATGTTTTAGTTAACAATAATAACCCTATTTCAGGGTTTTAATAATAAAGTAATTCAAAAAAAAAAAAATTTCGGGAGTGAGGGAAATGTGAGGGAATGATTTCTTATTTATTTGTTTTGATTTTGGAGTGTAAAACCTACATATTCATGACCAGTTTTGTGAAATTAACCCATTTATGGCCTAAATCCTGTGTCTGTCTCTCCTGTGCAGTGAAGAAGACTTTCATTGGTCAGAACAAGTCTATCTGGGCTCCTCTGGAGTTGATGGAGAAACTGTGCCCTGAGTCAGCTGACATTTCCACCAGTGTGCGGGATATGCCTGGAATCAAGTAGGTTCCCTTCAAAGGTGTTTGTCTTGGATATAATATCCTGTTCAAAACAGTGTAAGAGGAGAGCATGATTTGGTCTTCATGAGGTTCTGTGTTGTTTCAGGACAGGCCTCGGGCGAGCTCGAGCATGGCTGCATCTGGCTCTAATGCAGAAAAAAATCGCAGACTACATGAAAGAGCTTATAAATAGAAGAGACCTTCTTGGGTAAGAGCAATTAAATGATAGAAAAATTACCTTTTAATATTTAGACTTTTTTAAAAATCATACAAAATACAATACTGTAGTGCTATTGAATTCTGGGCTACCCAATGTAAATTCATGTCTCAGGGAGTTTTATGAGCCCGGGGCTCTTATAATGGAGGAGGAGGGGGCTGTGGTTGTAGGGATGCTGGTGGGTCTGAATGTGATCGATGCCAATCTGTGTGTGAAAGGAGAGGATCTGGATTCCCAGGTGAAACATATAGCCATCCAAACCATGTAATCAGATGTGTTCTTTGACCGTGACGCTAAACACTGTGTTTTTGTTTCTGCAGGTGGGCGTCCTTGACTTCTCAATGTATCTAAAGGATCCTCAAGCAACTGAGACCACACAAGAGTGAGTGTGTGATCATTTAGCAAAGATTAAGCATTGAATCATTAATTACATGGCTAGAAGCAAGTATTAGAAGACAGTTATTTTGTTATGAGCTAGTTAAGTAATTTTAGTAATTTTGGCTTTTTCTGATTCTTTAACTGCTGACAGTGATTCAAAAATGACAGCCATTCTTGACCAGAAACACTACATAGAAGAACTGAACCGGCATCTGAGCTGCACAGTGACGGATCTTCAGGCCAAGATGGACTCGCTGGAGAAGACCAACAGCAAACTCATCGAGAAGGTGATTTTTATAGACTTTATTATGACCTTATATTTTGTGTATTTTAATTTCTTGCTTATAAATCATGCACATTATTAAATACAGGATTACAATGGAAAAACATAGTTATTTGATGTCTTTTGTATAGCTTACAGCAGCCACAGACAGAATCAACGCTCTACGCGAAGAGCAGGAACAACTTAAACAAGAAAATGCAAATATTCTCCAAACTAGTCAGAGGAAAGAGGAGGTGGGAGTTGCAATAAAAATGTTGTATCATGAAAACAATCTGTATGTAATAATTTTTAAACATCTGCATCCACTATTCACTGGAAAAGTCGCTAGAAGAATTTTGGAACATCTAAAGCCAAGACCCTAAAATGGCCAAACATAGGCTGGGCTGTTGGTTTATTACTAATAAATAACACAATGCAGTATTTTGTCATTCCAAAATAATGTTACCTGCCATCTGGCCATTTTAAACAAGTTTAATAAAAATTAAATACTTTATTTCAGTTGATGTTTATTTTATTCAAGCAATTCAAATGGTTTTATGTTTTAGTTAACAATAATAACCCTATTTCAGGGTTTTAATAATAAAGTAATTCAAAAAATTTTTTTTTTCGGGAGTGAGGGAAATGTGAGGGAATGATTTCTTATTTATTTGTTTTGATTTTGGAGTGTAAAACCTACATATTCATGACCAGTTTTGTGAAATTAACCCATTTATGGCCTAAATCCTGTGTCTGTCTCTCCTGTGCAGTGAAGAAGACTTTCATTGGTCAGAACAAGTCTATCTGGGCTCCTCTGGAGTTGATGGAGAAACTGTGCCCTGAGTCAGCTGACATTTCCACCAGTGTGCGGGATATGCCTGGAATCAAGTAGGTTCCCTTCAAAGGTGTTTGTCTTGGATATAATATCCTGTTCAAAACAGTGTAAGAGGAGAGCATGATTTGGTCTTCATGAGGTTCTGTGTTGTTTCAGGACAGGCCTCGGGCGAGCTCGAGCATGGCTGCATCTGGCTCTAATGCAGAAAAAAATCGCAGACTACATGAAAGAGCTTATAAATAGAAGAGACCTTCTTGGGTAAGAGCAATTAAATGATAGAAAAATTACCTTTTAATATTTAGACTTTTTTAAAAATCATACAAAATACAATACTGTAGTGCTATTGAATTCTGGGCTACCCAATGTAAATTCATGTCTCAGGGAGTTTTATGAGCCCGGGGCTCTTATAATGGAGGAGGAGGGGGCTGTGGTTGTAGGGATGCTGGTGGGTCTGAATGTGATCGATGCCAATCTGTGTGTGAAAGGAGAGGATCTGGATTCCCAGGTGAAACATATAGCCATCCAAACCATGTAATCAGATGTGTTCTTTGACCGTGACGCTAAACACTGTGTTTTTGTTTCTGCAGGTGGGCGTCCTTGACTTCTCAATGTATCTAAAGGATCCTCAAGCAACTGAGACCACACAAGAGTGAGTGTGTGATCATTTAGCAAAGATTAAGCATTGAATCATTAATTACATGGCTAGAAGCAAGTATTAGAAGACAGTTATTTTGTTATGAGCTAGTTAAGTAATTTTAGTAATTTTGGCTTTTTCTGATTCTTTAACTGCTGACAGTGATTCAAAAATGACAGCCATTCTTGACCAGAAACACTACATAGAAGAACTGAACCGGCATCTGAGCTGCACAGTGACGGATCTTCAGGCCAAGATGGACTCGCTGGAGAAGACCAACAGCAAACTCATCGAGAAGGTGAGACTTTATTGTGACCTTATATTTTGTGTATTTTAATTTCTTGCTTATAAATCATGCACATTATTAAATACAGGATTACAATGGAAAAACATAGTTATTTGATGTCTTTTGTATAGCTTACAGCAGCCACAGACAGAATCAACGCTCTACGTGAAGAGCAGGAACAACTTAAACAAGAAAATGCAAATATTCTCCAAACTAGTCAGAGGAAAGAGGAGGTGGGAGTTGCAATAAAAATGTTGTATCATGAAAACAATCTGTATGTAATAATTTTTAAACATCTGCATCCACTATTCACTGGAAAAGTCGCTAGAAGAATTTTGGAACATCTAAAGCCAAGACCCTAAAATGGCCAAACATAGGCTGGGCTGTTGGTTTATTACTAATAAATAACACAATGCAGTATTTTGTCATTCCAAAATAATGTTACCTGCCATCTGGCCATTTTTTTTTTTTACTAAGCAAAATTTTACTCACTTTGGATTGCTTTTAGGTGACTCTGCAAGATAGCCAGTTAGAGCTAGAAACATATCGACAGACACGGCAGGGTTTGGATGAAATGTACAGTGTAGTTTGGAAGCAGTACAAGGAGGAGAAAAGAATCCGGCAGGTAAGAATGTATAATAATTCAGCTCCAAATGTAAAAATATTTTCAATCTTGAGTCTGTATTGTATTGCATAGTATTAAAGGGATAGTTCACCCAAACAAGAAAATATACTCACCCACATGTTGATTCTTTCTTCTGTTAGACAACAAAAGATATTCTGAAGAGTGTGGGTAACCAAACAGTTGCTGGTGGTCCCCATTTACTTCCATAGTATGAAAGTCAGTGGGGTCCAGAAAAAGTATTAAAGGGATAGTTCACCCAAACAAGAAAATATACTCACCCACATGTTGATTCTTTCTTCTGTTAGACAACAAAAGATATTCTGAAGAGTGTGGGTAACCAAACAGTTGCTGGTCCCCATTTACTTCCATAGTATGAAATTCAGTGGGGTCCAGAAAATCTTTGGTTACCCACATTCTTCAAAATATCTTCTTTTATGTTCAACAGAAGAAAGAAACTCATGGAACAACTTGAGGTTGAGTAAATGATGACAGAATATTCGTTTTTTGGTGAACTATCCCTTTAATACATTCATGTAAATATAGTATTTTATGGAGCCAGTCAAAATATCTGCATGAACTGTTTGGCAAATCAGGAGCTGCAAAAGGAGCTGGAGCTGCAGATCGGTTTGAAGCAGGAAATGGAGGTTGCCATGAAACTCCTGGAAAAGGACACTCATGAGAAACAAGACACGCTGTTCACACTGCGACAACAACTAGATCAAGTCAAGAATCTCAACTTACAGATGTTCAACAAAGCACAGGTGTTACATCTGATTGTCTGTACAACATGTTACTGGAATAGGATTACCTGTAACCAATTGAAACTTAAGTCTTGTCGTTTAACCCACAAGGAGTCTGACCGAGTGGCCCAGAAAAAAGAGGAGGACATGCAACAACTGGAAAAGAAGATGATACAGATGGAAGCAGCTATGAAGCAACTAGAGCAGAGGTGCCAGAACGTTTTCAAGGAATAATTCACCCCAAATAATTTATCATTTACCCAAACCTGTATGACTTTCTTTTCCTCATGGTCTTTGGAAGAATGTAAGCGAAATACGTCATACAGGTTTGAAACAACATGAACATCATAGAGATGTATGAAATTATATGTACTATTTCTAAACCTAATAAACATGAGTATTTGCTCCTTAGGCTTCAAAATTCTGAAAATGTGTGCAAAAACACGGATGAAAGCCAGAATGAGCTGAGATCGGAGATGAAAGGGAAAGTGAATGCTCTGCAGAAGCGTCTCACTGACCTCGACACACTCAGGTAGTGTATATCAGGCTTCTAGAAAGCGCTAACTTTGCTGTCACAGATACTTTGAAGGGGTAATACAACCAAAAATGAAAATGTTGTCATCAGTTCTCATACACACTCAAGTTGTTCCATGTATACATGTATACATGTATGCATTTCTTTCAGATGTTGAACACACAAAAAATGATATTTTGAAGAATGTTGGTACCCAAACAGTTGACTTCCATGTTATGGAAAAAAATATATATATAATGGAAGTCAATGGCTACCATAAACTAACATTATTAAAAATATCATCTTGTGTGTTCAGCAAAAGAAAGAAACTCATACAGGTTTGGAACAAGTGGAGGGTGCGTAAATGATGACAGAATTTTAATTTTTTTGGTGAATTATCTCTTTAAATTTAAAACAACTGTGAAGTATTTGTTTCGGGTTTACGTTTACTGTTATCATCACTTTAGAAATCTCATCCTGCATCAGAACAATTTTTAAAGAAATTGCATTTATTTCTTTTCACACTAAGATTTCACAAAGTCACAAAGATTTAGATTTTTTTTTTTGACTCAGTGTTGTTGCTGTTCTCTTTTCAGGGCAGGCCTATTTGTTTTTAACATTCATTTCTTGTGGCACTGCTGGCTTCCGTTTGTTGCAAAATCATATGCAAAGTTTCTTTGACAGGAAGATGCCAGGAAAGTTAGAAACTAACATTAATATGATTGTATTTATGATAGTCTCCATTTTAGGGAGAGCACTAACACATATAAGCCTTTCAGGGGTTCATCGAGTGGATGCAGAGGATTCTTATTTCAATACTCTTCATGCTTTCCAGTCTTTGTCATGTCTCCTCTTATCAAAATAGACCGAATTAAATTTGTAATGATTTTCTAAATTCTGACAAGTGTTCAATTTTAATTTTTAAGGAGACATGGCATTGCTGAATTGTAATCTTTATCACTAATTTTTTGTGTATGTGCTTGTGCATTTAATCTGTGCATGTCATACAAAAATATACCACTATCAGGGTCAAAAAGTGGGACCAGTTCCTGTATGAAGTTAGTAGATATGTGAATTATTCAAGAAAATGGTTTTATGAACACATTTGTTCTGCTAATATGAATGAGGCTCAAAAGTCTGTAAATGAATTTTTGTTGACAAAAGGTAAAATTACATTTATAGTATGCAAGAGCAGATGGATTGTATTTTCTCCAACTTTTTTGCTTATGCCAGACAAAAAAACAAACATTTTTTTATAAAACTTTTTAAGGCTCTCTGAATACAAAATGTCTATTTTAGATTGTTTCCTGGGTTGTACCCTCTTTAACAAGACTTTATATTACTCTATGGGTTTCTCTTTATGTCAAATGAGAAATGGTACTACATAAACATACCAAATGGGGCCGCAATACACTTGAACCTTTTCTGGCACAATTTAAGGATAATGTTGTGCAAGAAAAAGAAGGGTCACTTAAATCAAATGCCTCTTGAGCGTCTGTCTCAACTCATCTCTTGTTTGTTTGGTAAGCCCCAAACATTACCTACATTGCTGTGCACCTGTTTTAGGTACATAAAATACAAAAAGGGCTGAGGCAGTTTAATTTAAAAAAAAAAAAAAAAAAGAAAAAAAGAACAAATTCTAATAATTGCATAAAAGGACAAAGCTGGATAAAAAGTGACCCCCTTCTGGATTTGAGCGTCTGTCTCAACTCATCTCTTGTTTGTTTGGTAAGCCCCAAACATTACCTACATTGCTGTGCACCTGTTTTAGGTACATAAAATACAAAAAGGGCTGAGGCAGTTTAATTTAAAAAAAAAAAAAAAAAAAGAAAAAAAGAACAAATTCTAATAATTGCATAAAAGGACAAAGCTGGATAAAAAGTGACCCATCTTGGTCCTTCTGGATGGTCCAATCCTTAAGATTCAATACAAATTTCAACTATTCCTAATTTTAAAGATTAAATGACTGAAACGGAGCACTTTGATTTAAATGTTCAAGGCTCGTTTATGTGCAAATGATGGTCCGATGAACTAAAATAACCTTAGCAAAATGTTGGTATACTGTTTAATTTTGAGTAAATAGGGCAATTCGAACTTCCTATCGGACATACCTGCAAAAAACTGGACAATTTCCTCTTTGCTGCATCCAAATGGCAGACCGCGAAGCCTAACCAGGCCGTCCCCTCCTGTGTCCAGGCAGTTCGGTCCGGTGTGCTTCAGAACCCAGTCCATCTCAACACTATTGGATTTGAATACTGAAAGCACATATGAATCGATCAGCATTTTAGTCCATGAAATAGATGAAATAGTCCATGATGTAGGTGAGTTTGTTTCTTCATCAGAACAGATTTGGAGACATTAAGCATTACATCAGTTGCTCGCCAGTGGATCCTCTGCAGTGAATGGGTGAAGTCAGAATGAGAGTCCAAACAGCTGATAAAAACATCACAATAATCCACAAGTAATCCACACCACGCCAGTCCATCAATTAACACCTTGTGAAGTGAAAAGCTGTGTGTTTATAAGAAACAAACCCATCAAATACATTGTTAACTTCAAACCGTTGCTTCTGCCTTGCCTGAATCAGGAGAGAAATATGCACATATCAAGTACGATTTAGAAGTGAAAACAGTCCAGGGCTGCGTTTCCCGAAACCTTAAACTCTGCGTGAACCGGAAGTTGCTGCCGACTTTATTTCTGTGTAGTGAAAAAGGCATGGTTTTCTTTTGGCGCTCCTCCGCTCTGTCTCTCACTCATATCAAATTAATGGTTGGAGGGGTGTGTTTAAAAGGATATTCTGCCCAAGTCGTCAAACTGACATCATCAGAGAAGGACTGTCATTCCAGAGCATTAAAGATTTTGAAGTTTGATTAAAGATTACCAAGACAAACTATTTTTTTCAGCGGATTAACTTTGGATTAATTGTTCACATCAAGACTAGCAATGTGCGCTAGTAAAGTAAATAAAGTCCATTTTGATTTCATGCCGACTTTAATGCTACATCGTTCAGAAGTTATACCTTAAGATGTACCTTTACGTTAATACGTGTTTCCCGAAACATTCTTAGTTAAGTATACCTTCTGTAAGTCATTTGTTCATAAGGTTAGTCTGGACCACTCTTAGCTATACCTTATCGCTGTTCACAGTTCACTCTGCTAGTGGCCACCACTGTGCAAAAACCTTCTTCACATTTCAGTCAATACGATTGTAATTCTGTGGCAAGAAAAAGTGTAAATATTAAATAAAAATTACAATTCTAATTGTAATACACCCAGTGTTGAATTAGTGTTCAATTAATTTAAGTGTTTTTATGCAAAGAATAAAACTGTCATTATACTAATGGTTGTTCGTTTTTCCATTATAATATACAAAGGCACATCGGCTGGCAAACCATTAGGCAGCACATAATTAAGAGTATATTTAAAGGGAATGAATGTGATGGGGAGTTTGGTCAAACTATGGCAGCGAGACAGCGAATAGTTGTCCTAAATCAAAGATGGCTGCATCCGCGGAGCCAGTTAGTGTGTGTGCACAATTTCATAATAATGTCAGAATAGCTACCATGTCAAAAGATACAATTCTACAAAAATTTCTCCTGCCACGGGAGGATCTTGTTGGTCAAACTTTGTAGAGACAAACTTGATGGAGCTACCCCCTAAGCCCAGAAATTCAGCTGCTGGCAGCTCTCCGTTTTTATGCTGTGGGAAGTTTTCTGGAGGTGGTTGGGGATGGATATGGGCTGAGTAAGACCTCGGTGGGGCGGTGTGTTCACTACATCTTGCTCCGTCACGCCACCGATTATATAGCCTACGTATGCCTTTCGCCAGGCACGAAGAGATGGTGGCACATCAAGGCTTCCATGCCATTGTGGGTGTCCCGTGACTAATTGGCCTTGTTGACGGGACATCGCCAACCCATCAGCGCTCGACCAGGCCTTCATAATATATATGAACATGATAATATAAATGACTCTTTCAAAAGCAAGCGAAGCCTAAAAGCCAGTTAATGTAACTGACTAAGGCAGAATACTTTTGGCCATGAGGTTGGAGGTATATGTATATGTGTGTGTGATATCCAAGGTTGCATTTAGTTTTAATTTGGATTATTTTATAAATGCAGTGAACCCCGATAAATGCAATTTCTAATATTTCTAAAGTGTTTTTCTTTAGAATGAACAGCACTTTACCCGCTCTATAACGCAGTGAAAGAGCTCCTGTATTGAACAATCGATTCTCGACCCATCGATATCAACCTATTCAGCACCACCGCCATGGACAGTACCTGCTAACGTAGCATGCACGGTTTACCTTACGCAACATCCCAAGGTATAGTTCGGGGAACACGCCTAGAAGAGGTATACCTTTAGTTAAGATATACTTTTAGAGTCTTCGTAGCGAGCTAAGAGACAACGTTATCGGGAAACGCAGCTCTAAACAAATATGTCTATGTATTACTGTATTCATGTTACTGTATTCATGTGGATTATTGTGATGTTTTTATCAGCTGTTTGGACTCTCATTCTGACGGCACCCATTCACTGCAGAGGATCCACTGGTGAGCAAGTGATGTAATGCTACATTTCTCCAAGTCTGTTCTGATGAAGAAACAAACTCATCTACAAGGATGGCCTGTGTGTGCATACATTTTCAGCAATTTTTTTATTTTTGGTTGAATTATTCCTTTAAGGATCCTAACTAAGGCAGAAGCAGCTGCCCACCTTCTACATAACGGTGGCCCATGGTTTCATGATCTTTCTTCACTGCAATTTTAAGGTCCTCTTCTGATTCGAACTCGACAAACGCCTCTCCACTTGGTCGCCCTTCCCGTGTGTATGTGAAATGTATGCTTGTCCCATTGTTTGCAATTTTGCACTCTGATGAAATTTAGCTAGAATTAGTCAAGCAAGGAATACAATCTAAGGGGGGAAGATTTAAGCAGAGGCTTTTTGTTTTACCTGAAAAAAACCTCTGAACTTCATCAACAGAACAGGACCAGGGTAATCCTCTGACTCTCACCACAAAACCCTCTCCATCCGCCATGCTGGAAACAACCCTGTTTAAACACAATTTATAGAATAAGTGACTCTATAATATACTAGTATAACACAAAAACTAATATTTGTTTTCAAATGATCTTAATTCTAGACACTCATCTGCATCTCAAATGAAGCACCACTGCATGGTAAACTACCCGACATACACATATAAAGCAAAACGCCCAGCCAAAATAAAATAAATAAATACATAACTATTAATTAAAAGCTAATCCAATCAATCATGCACCTAAACATTCCCTATTCAGTCAAAACGACAGAGACATGTGCATTCATATATATGACAGTATATCTCGCTAAACCTGAAAAATATATTGCTTGATGGACCGTTAAGATTGGTTGCATTGTTTTCATATATAATATATATATAATAAATGATTCATACACTACATGGTAGTATTTATTGTACTGTTTACTGAAAAACATACAAAAAAAATACAGAATTACAGAAATACAGAAAAATTTGTGTTAAAATGTCACACACACACACAAAATAAATAAATAAAATGATTAAAAACAAAAACAACTTCATACGAAATAATTTCACTTTTTTCTGTTGATTTTGGGGTGAAATAATTCATACATCTCAAGGTAGTATTTGTTGTACTGTTTATTTAAAGAACAAATACATGAACATAATGTCACAATTATGCCAATAATAATCCAAAAGTGAGCTTTGTTTTCTTAATGCAATATATATATATATATATATATATATATATATATACATATAAACAATTATAAGACTGAAACTCAGAATTCAGAGAAATAAGTCAGAATTGCAAGAACAAGTCATAATTGTCACAATCACTGTTTTGATTTTGTGGTGGGAACAGGCTTCCATAGAATACCTCAAAGAAACACTCTAATCAACCTCTATTTTTTTTTTAGCTGATGACAACCAGTTTGAGATGGACATTTGAGTCTTTCATCTACCTCCTGTGGAGAATTCTTTATTTTATCTGTTGAGATGTTGCTGCTTCCCCCACGATCAGCGGACATCACATTCACCAGATTACAGGGCTTTTTAATGAGCTAAACAGCCAAAGGGTGTCTTATTCTTTTGTTTAAAAGTATTTGTTAGACGCTTTCAAGAAAAAGAAAAAAAAACTATTTTCAAGTGGCAGTGTTTTAAAGTTCTTTATTGTACATATGGTACTTTCTACCTTTTTTTTTTTTTTAAGAAAATGTTGCATTACGTGTGAGCCGGGGGAAATCCATGGCAAAATCTCTCATTTCTGAGCTTTAGATCTCAACAAACATTGTTGATTGTTTAATGGCAAAGACCGACTACATGCCAAATAAATGTCTGTTGCACAAGTTTGGTGTTTCACCTTAAAAAGCGCATCAGAACATAAATGTACACCATTGTGTGCCCTCAGGGTTTTCCTTTTGTTTCATTTGCCTGGATTTCCTCAGGTTTTATTATTTTTGATTGAAATAAAAAAGAAGAAAAAAAAGAAAAATAGTTGTCATTTGATCTGTTTAGAATTTTAGAAAATTTCATATTGGCATACTGCTATACATCTTGGGTTTCAAATTAGCATAACTCGCCTACAAAAACCATGGACTTCCCTCTACTGTTAAAAGGCATGTGACCTCTGTAAACTAGATTTGCATTTACAGAAGGAACTTGCAAGGCAGCAACATTTATAAGCTAAAATTTTAAGCAAACAATTGGCCATATGAAAAACTTTGTCATAAAGTAAATATGACTGTCTTGGAGCAAAACACTAGAAGATACAAATGAACTTCATGAACAAAAGATGTTTAAAAGTTTGGGGTTTGTAATATTCTTTTGAAATGTTTTGCTTAAGTCTTTTATGCACCAAGGCTGCATTTATTTGATAAAGTGGAAACAGTATTGTAAAATATTAATTTAAAATAAATGTATTTTAAAATAATTTATTACTCCAGGCTTCAGTGTCACATGATCCTTCAGAAATCATTCCAATTAAGCCAATTTGATGCTTAAGAAACATTTTTTATTAATGTTGAAAACAGTTGTGCTGCTTAATATTTTTGTGGAAATTGTAATAGAGCATTTATTGAAATATACATTTTATTATACATATTTACGGTCACCTTTAATCAATTACATGCAGCTTTAAAATAGTACTTTCTTTAAATGCCCTATATATATCTATAGGTTAGGCTGGTTAGCATGGTAGATGCTGTTACTATACACCATGCCATGCCAATTTTAGACACCTTTCTAAAATGTTTTCACTAAAAACTCACTCCAAATATCAGCTCAAGGAAAAATATCCAGAACTGTGACAAATGTAATAAGTTTGCTGTTGTTTTAAATAGAATTTTAAGTTATAGCAAAAGCAGAAATGAAAGATGTGCTGTAGTAACTTCTCTTTATATAATATGTTAAGTTTGGAACAAGATGTTTTATCCATGTATGTCCCTTTTGGCTGTGGTCCAAACAATTTCTGTCAGGTTTAGATACAAACTAGCCTAGTTTAAACAGTGATCTATTTTCTACTTCCAGCTGCCTCTATAAAACAATCCTGACTGAACTCTCATAAACGCTTACAACAACCTAGTTTTTACTGTCACTTTGTACAGTAATGTTACATTTCACCAGCATTTATTTAACATTCTAATTTCTTCAAAATGCAATCTAGATTTTATTGGTTAAGACAACTTCATTATGTAAATTAAACGCAAAAGACTTAGACATCTTAAAAATCAAGTTTATTTCTTGAAATTTGTCCAAGACACTGGAGAAACATGTATCCAGTGTTTCGAGAAAGAATCGTGTTACAGTTACCTGTGTATGTTTTGAGGTATAGCTGAATCACTATTAAAGCCACTCTTAAATATCTAACAAGATGGGAGGAATTCTCCTTAAAAGCAGTAGAGGGAAAAAAATAAAAATAAGTCACCAAGACTTGCCACTAACAGATTTTAAATGGACAAGCTTACAATCGGTAGGAAATCCCTTTTTAGCTCACCTTGAAGCCATGCAACTTTGCAAAACTAAACACGGGTGACAAAGGAAAAAAATTAATCTAGAAACAATAAAAAGAAATGAACCAAAACTGTTTATTTTGAAAGCATTTTGAGGGCTCTGAGCCTAGATGTGGTAGACACAGCCATGATGTAAAATACAACCATACAATACAATAGATTCAAAAAGGTACCAAAAAGTACAGTAAAAAAATAACACTTCCATCTCTGGAAATGTAAAAAGGACAATGGAAAAAAAAAAAAAATTAAAACAAATGTGAAGTGACATTTGCGCCCCCCATTTCCTTATGTTTTCTGTACAAAATGAAGCAGAAGTCCAGATTCTGCCAACTTCCAAAAGTAAAAGATCCCAATGTTCACTGTGACCAGACCGCTGGTTCCTGCTCGGTAGCTTTACGACCTTTAAAAGAGAAAACACAGAGATTTAGCCACATTAATCTATGTAAACCATTAACTTGTAAAAAAATTTTATAATAAATGAGGTGAAGAGATGGGGCCTGTATCTACTGCTACAACCCTACTGGACCATAAAAACCCACCCCAAAATGGATCGCTCTATCTGCCTTATAGTTCATCTGGGTAAATGGAGATGAATTGGTAATGGAGCAACACAACCAAACTAACCTTACCATGAGTGGTGGGGGAAAAAAACAAAATCAAAATTCATACCTGCACTACACATGATCAGTATGGCTTGTAGCTACTCTGGTGAGCCCCACGTCTTGGAGTTTTTCCATAGCTTGTATTGCCCTGGTCTAGGGGGGTAAGAAAAGAGCAGAGAAAGGAACTTGAGTCCCTCGCATTCACAAGAACCTGACGGGGGCGGGGAGGAAACCCCAAGGACAATCAGTGCTTACTGTAGTCATATCCGCCGCCGTAGCCGTAGTAGCCCCCCGTGTAATCGTAGTTGCCGTAGCCTCCGTATCCACCGTAACCTTGCTGGCCGCCGTAGCCATATCCCTGGTTACCGTAGCCTTGATTCCAGTAGTTATTGTAGCCCTGATTCCAGTTCTGACCCTGGCCTACAAAACAAAACCAATTTTAAACACATCTGCCACAGTGACGTACCCTGATATCTGTGAGCAACTTGTAAAACCATAAAGTGATTGGTCTCTACTCAAGCTTTGTGGGGCATTAGAATGGATTTAGATTAATCGGATCCAAGATCAGCCAAAGCTTTTAAGATAGATTAAATCTGAAGACTTCACATATACACAAGATGAAATAGATTAAAATATCAGCATGCGAGCAATAATCAATTCTGATAGTATTTTTTAAAATTACAAATATTTATAATTCTATGAAGTTATCAGAAACTCAGCAGAATGTTTAAACTAGCCTCAGTCGTAAGTATATTACATCTTATATCTTCTGTAGAGCTGCTTATAGCTGAATTGAACTAGTTTCATAAATTGGAGTAACTTTACAGTTACTGAACTGAATTAACACCGACCAGACTCCACTAACTGAATATTGTCTTTTTGGAGCTGCTTTACGGCAGAATTCGAATCTCTCATATTTGAACAAGTTTCCAGCATGGATTATTATTTTCCTGTTTATTACCATGAAGAGGCTTTAAAATTTGTATTGTATGAAGCTCTACATAAATAAGTGACTTGCCTTAGTTAACCCGACAGCATTCGATTCATATAGACACAAAAGGTTGACCGTTGTTTTCTAATGCATATCTCTGTACATTTGATGAGCATTCAGTCTTTATCTAGGTAAACTTTGCACAGATTAAAGCAGCCTAAAGTAGCATGCAGAGGTACTAACCTCCACGCCCCCTTCCTCTCCCTCCAAAACGACCTCCATACTGCTGCTGCTGGTACACTTCTTTTGGCTGCGCAACCTTAATCTCGCACTGGGGGGGGGGAAAGACAAAAATGGGTGATTTGGAATCATTATAGCAGAACATCTGCATAAAACACTACAGCTAAAATGAATCATCAAGTAAGTCCACGGACTTGTAGACACTGTATAAATTCTTATGGTATATTCATGTCAAGTATAAAAGGTTAGTACAATGTCAAATAGCGAACAACATCCCTGAAGATTGATCACATCCATCAATAAATTTAAGGTAACATCAAAGTGGAAACACTCACAAGGCCTTCTTTTCCACTTGTGTCCTTGGTTCCACTGACGTTGTGATATTTCTTTTCCAAAACTTTCTTGACAGCCTCTTCTTCCTTGAAGGTAATGAAGACAAACCCTCTCCTCTTATTTGTCTTTGGATCCATTGGAAGTTCAATAGTCTCAATCTGCAATAGCAAAAATCATCATGTCAACAAATGTGTATAAAAAAAAAAAACCCATTAAACTGCAAAACCAACAACATCTATTAGCAAAAGGAGGCAGGAGAAAAAAAAAAAAAAAGTGCATGCAAAGATCAAAAGCAAAACTTTACATTGCTAACATATACCAATTACGTTATCATTCCTTTAAACAAACGCTTGAAATCATATTTCCAATGTAAAACTTTGATTACACAGGTCTAAATTTTCTGCTCAGCTTGCTTAAAACAATTTAAAGAAATTCAAACTCTAAAAAGAACACTCCAGTACCTCGCCAAAGGCACCAAAATACTCGCGGATCCTCTCTTCTGTAGTTTCGGGGTTCAGCCCGCCGACAAAGATCTTCTTAGCAGGTTCTTTCTTCATTGCCATTGCCTTCTTGGGGTCAATCTGTCGTCCATCCAGTCTGTGCTCTTTTTGTGCTAAAACCTGTGCAAAGAGAAATCAACGATTAAGTTAACCATCGAAGAACCACAAGACTTCAGGTTTTCCGAAGCACCAAAGCTTACCTTATCTACACTGGCTGACTCTTTAAAAAGAATAAACCCAAATCCCCTTGATCGCCCAGTGTTGGGGTCCATTTTGATGGTGCAGTCTGTCACCTCTCCGAATTTAGAGAAGTAATCTTTAAGATCCTTTTTACTCGTGTCCCAGCTGAGGCCCCCAACAAACATTTTCCTGAGGAAACGAAGCAGAAAATCGGAGTGAGACCAGGAGGGGGCGTGGTAGTACAGATTTCACAAATTTCCCAATTTCTTGAATTGAAAAAAAAGCCCACTTTCTACTAATAAACGGAAATCAAAACTGCAACACAATACAGATGTCTTAAGCGCGCGCACACACACACACACACACACACACACACACACACACAAAAAACGTCTGCTTAGGTGAACAATTAAAGAGGTGCAACAGTGCATTATAAAAACAACTCTAAAAAGAACACTCCAGTACCTCGCCAAAGGCACCAAAATACTCGCGGATCCTCTCTTCTGTAGTTTCGGGGTTCAGCCCGCCGACAAAGATCTTCTTAGCAGGTTCTTTCTTCATTGCCATTGCCTTCTTGGGGTCAATCTGTCGTCCATCCAGTCTGTGCTCTTTTTGTGCTAAAACCTGTGCAAAGAGAAATCAACGATTAAGTTAACCATCGAAGAACCACAAGACTTCAGGTTTTCCGAAGCACCAAAGCTTACCTTATCTACACTGGCTGACTCTTTAAAAAGAATAAACCCAAATCCCCTTGATCGCCCAGTGTTGGGGTCCATTTTGATGGTGCAGTCTGTCACCTCTCCGAATTTAGAGAAGTAATCTTTAAGATCCTTTTTACTCGTGTCCCAGCTGAGGCCCCCAACAAACATTTTCCTGAGGAAACGAAGCAGAAAATCGGAGTGAGACCAGGAGGGGGCGTGGTAGCACAGATTTCACAAATTTCCCCATTTCTTGAATTGAAAAAAAGCCCACTTTCTACTAATAAACGGAAATCAAAACTGCAACACAATACAGATGTCTTAAGCGCGCGCACACACACACACACACACACACACACACACAAAAAACGTCTGCTTAGGTGAACAATTAAAGAGGTGCAACAGTGCATTATAAAAACCCGCTCCGTGTTCAATTCACCAACGCACCCATCCCCCTACAAAGAGACACATGGCGCCAACAAAGACGGGAAGGACAAAGGGTTTTACGTCCGAGCATCCAGCACAACTGTTACTTTTACGTACCCCGCATCTTCCTCTCCTTTGCTAGCATCAATTTGCCCCCCGTCCGACGAACCATTTTGAGGGTCTTCCTCGTCCCCGGCCGTGTCGTCGCCACCGGCGTCTCCCTGCGCTCCGGCCTGCTCATCCCCGGTGCCTTCCTCGTACTGCTCGGCTCCGTTCAGATCGTCCTCGTGGCCGTTTTCGGAGGTTTCCATATAATGCTGCTCGGCGTCTGACATGGTGGTAGTTTAATGTGAAAACCTAAAACTGCAGAGTACGTGAAATAGTTACGAAAGGAAGCGCCTTATGTAACGCATAAAGACCACCATTTTGAAAAGCGGCGCTCGCATTTATAATACGCAACAAAAATTTGAACATATCGCTTTCTAATTTAGGATAATACACCGCTTAACTGTCCTATAATTAAATGTAAGGGTTAATGCAACTAATACGTACACGGAGGCTAACAAACTCGTAATTTTCACGTAAATACTTTACCGTAAAAGCAGCAGCAAGTGAAAAGTCTCCGTGGAATGCTTTCCGCGGTGTGGGCCCTTCCTTATTGCGCCGACAAGTGGTTGGTTTTATATTACTGGATGGAAGATCAAGGAAGTTTAGTAAGGGCGCATTTAATTGGGTGCCTTCGAACGCCTATCATTCTAATAGCCAATCAAATGTGTCGCTTACACGTGACAGAAATCCTCCCCCAAACGCGCCTCGTCTGATCCTTCTTGTCGAGCGGGGGAAGAACTCTTTGTTCTTGTTTGGTTTATAAACGTGTTGTTGACCACTTTTATGTGAAATTAAAATGAAATATTTTTAGAAGGGAGCTACAATGAAAATAATGCAAGAAACAAGCGTTTGTATTTCGATTTTTAGTCAAGTAGTAATGAGGAAGTTACAGCGGCTTTTGCAATAGGCCTTTTAATTATTTGCTTTAATACATTCATTTTTTTTGTCGAGATCAGACAGTTGTTTTAATATACTTAGTTCTTCACTTTAAAAAAATGTTTGTGAACCAAATATTTATCACCATCAGAAGGGTAGAATGATTTCTTTTTAATAGTGAATTTTAAGCTTTTATTTGATGTTGAATAATGTTAGTGTTTCTGCTGTGCAAGTGTGCAGTGACAAGGATACTGTAAATTTGCACTTTTATCTTACACTTAAATGAACATTGGACAATTTAAAACTAACACACATTTGGATAAAAAGAAAAAAGGGCTAAAGCAAAATTACAAAACTTTATTTTATAAAGCAGTTTGAATGATATGAGGAAAATAGACCAAAATAGAGTGAGACAGTAACTTCTTGTTGGTAAATTCTTCTTGCTTAAAAAAAATATGTCACGCTGCTGCCTCCTCTACTACTGTTCCATCAGATATTTTGGGCTTATTAGGGTTATTATTCATCAACCAGTCTGCAAGCCATGTCTGTAAAGAAAAATAACAGTACAAAAATAACTGCGTAAATAGGATATTGACATATTATGAAATCCAGAATGATCTGTATTTGCACTGTCCAAGTGTTTTTATTTGAATAGAAACATCCCTTTCCATTGTCCTCATCTGACCTACAACAAATAAATAAAAACAAACAAACAAACATGCAATAAAGGATGCAAATATTTGAAACCTCTTTTGACTGGTTCATCTCTGTTGATTGTGTCAGTCATTGTAATTAATATACATTGATAAATTATCATTTTTTGTTTGATAATGAGCTGCTTATTTTATGGGGACAAAATCATTTTTACGTTACGGTTCTGAAAGGCTTAATAGATAGCCTACTTTACAGTAGCCAGTTGTTATTACATTTTGTCCCTGAAATCCACCCATCAGCTAGGACCAGTATAATCCTGATTGTTGTTGTTGTTTTTTTTTGGATCAAAGGTAGCCTATTCCTGCTAAAAAAATTTGAACAACACATACTGAAGTTTTGAGTATGATCAAAAGCAAGATTGTATGCACTAATCAGATTTCAGAATGTTTTTTTTTTTCCATGTGAAAAGCCCATTTTCATGATTTGATCCAATCTAATAGCCAAATTTCTTTTGAACAACTGGATCCAGGGTATCAAAAGAAAGGAACCAGGCTGAACAATTTTAAAGAAATTCTTCCAAAATTACAACTCTGTCAATGTATTTGCCCTCAAGTACTTCCAAATTTATTAGAATGACTTTAAAAAGATTTTACTCTTACAAAAGGGTCCAATGGCTTTTTCTTGCTCAGCTCTGTCAGTCCAGTGAGAAGTGTTGGGCTGACGTACCGGCTCAGGTAATCTTTGGCGGCATCTCTCATAGGAATGGGTTCAATCACAGCTAAAAGAGACGACCAAAATAATAAATAAATCAGATTTTTAGTATGCTTTCTTATCCTGTTCACTGAACTCATCTGGACAGGGTTAGATTTACTCACAGTTGGGAAACATGAACCTGATCTCCCTCTCGGCAGCAGTGAAGGATTCACTGCCATGCACAGCATTCCGCAGGTCACAAGTGCCGAATCTCGCTCTCAGACTGATGACGACATTCACAAATATGAGTGTTACATGGAAATAATTACTGATATTGAGCACAAATGAAACATATTACAGTATGCATAATGAATATAGCTTTGTTGCAATGACTAATGAGTTATGTGATTGATTTAGGCATTGCAATGAACACAGACTTTGTAAATCATTAGCCTGAAGTGCATAAAATCCAACAAAAGGATCCATTTATTTTGCCAGGAGTTTAAAAGGCACAGAAAACGGTGCACTGTAATAGTTCCCCCTACAGTACATGAACTTCATAAGTCCATTTTATCATTAAACCACCTGCATAGACAGAGAAGATTCATTCAGTGACATTCATTACCAGTCAGGATGCGTTTCTCTAGCCTTGATGCTGCTGACTGGCCCCATTATGGCTTTCCAGGTGGCAATAGCCTGGTGTCGGGCCAGTGCTAGAGCAACAACCGGTCCGGAGCTCATGAAGGCAGTCAGATGGGGGAAATGCAGCTTCCCATAATGCTCAACATAGAAATCACTGCATTGCTCTGGACTCAGCTGAAGCCTTCTTTTCTGTTAAATGAGAAAAACAAAAAGAGAATGATAAAGGCATAAGCAGAATGCAAATCTTACTAAAGCACCAGCCACAAAATATGAGATTTTAGCTGATAAGCACAATGCATATTTACATTTATTTCTTAAACAGGTTTTTCTCCAAAGCGATTTGCGAATACACTCGATTTATCATAAGCAGGCAATAACACAAGGAGTGCTGGTCACACAATGTTTCAAACCCTGTCCAGAACAGTGCAAGCTAGAAGGAAATAGGAATCGTGAAAGCATAGACTTTTGTTTTAATACATTTCATCAGCCTCATTTTAAACAGTAACGTTACAATGTAGTGGCATCAGACACCACATGACGATCTTGGACTCAGAAAAAGACTAACTAGGGATCGTCTTAAATTCCCCATGTAAATAATTCATCTTATGCGCAGTGCAAAATACAATATTTAATAATGGAAAAAAAAAATCGTTGAGTCTGTTCACTTACGTAACGTTACCTGAAGAACTGTAAATCCAGACTGAAGAATAATGTCCTCAATTTCATTGGTTTTGTGGATGGCATCAGGTTTGATTAAAGCCAGCGTTCTCTCCACGAAGATGCGAGGTGCTGGCATCTGTTTCTGAGGACTGTCGCTCTCCATGACTTTTAAACAGCTAACGTTTCACTATTTTTCTATTGACGTTACAGGACTTTTTCACGGTCACTTGAACAGCCAAGGCAAAATTGGTCAAATTATAAAGTGCAAATAGTTTAATTTACCAGAATGGAAGCACAATTACTGTTGACTTACCTACAACATTAAAATAGTTTATAGTTCAAGCGTCTGTATCATGTCGTGTCCTCAACGTTGAGTCCGGTTTGTTGGCCTTGTTGCTAGGCAACAAGTCGCATAGATTGAATCAACATACATTAGTGCCATCTAGCGGCTACTCAAACCTATTTACACGACTCAAATGGTTGCATTTCAGTTGTATTTTATTGCAAGTCAGAAAAAATTAAGTAAACAAGGTCAATTGTAGTTGTTTTTAAAAGTTTTATTTTATTTAGACATTAGAAAAGGCGTCTATCTCGTTCCAATGGTCACCTGCCACACTCTGATCAGGTTGTCTGTGTATCCAGCAAAGAGAGTCTGTGATGAGAAGAGACGGGAATTATTATCAGGTACCACTTAAGAAGCACTTGCTACTGATTTAAATTCATATTACTGTCCCCCTCATATTTGCAGGACTGTCACCATAAAGTTTCAGATGTTATAAGTGATTGGGTATAATCAACGGGAGCAGCTGATCCAGCTAGAATTTGCAACTAATGAAATGCAAGGAATAGCTCAGGAACTCATTCCAGGCAGAAAAGGCTGCTGTACAACCCACCTGTCCATCAGCAGACCAGGCCAGAGAAGTGCACTGAGGTGGCTCAGCCTTGCTGTTGGTGGTGATGATGTCCTGCCTCAGCTCATCAACAATGACCTTGCCCTCCAGATCCTGTTGAGAGAAAACAGTCAGCTTTGCAACAGCAGTATGATAATGTTATACCCGCTTGGGCCAATAGTTCTCAGAAACAGCCTCTTTATCATCATAGTTACAGAAGGCATTGAACTTTCATCACTGAACTCTCTGCTCCAATTTAAACGGTTACTGTTAATATATTAAGGATAAAGCACTTAATTCACACTGAAGCTTGCAGTTTTGTCTTAAAGAAGGGAAATCTTTGCATTTGAAACATCTGAATGAAAAGCATTCATGTACATAAACGCACCCAGATCTTGATGCTAGGTCCAGTGGCGGCACACAGCCAGTAGCGGTTGGGGCTGAAGCAAAGGGCGTTGATGTTGTCACCACTGTCCAGGGTGTAAAGGTGCTTGCCCTCGTTCAGGTCCCACAGCATGGCTTGCCCATCCTGAAATGAGGACAAATACCGTAAATACAGATAGAAAAGTTATGAGCTCTGAAAACTCACAATGGTTTTTTTTCTGTGTTCAAAAACAGCCTCTTTTATAATCACATGGATTCAGATGGCATTAAGGTTTCATCATCTTCACTCGGTCATCTCAAACCTCTAACCTGTTTACTAACTGCAGTAGTGAAAACCAGAAAAAGAGTGACCACATTACCTTTCCACCAGAGGCACACAGAGATCCATCAGGAGACACGGTCACTGTGTTCAGGTATCCAGTGTGGCCAATGTGGTTGGTCTTCAGCTTACAGTTAGCAAGATTCCATACCTGTAACAAACACATAATTTAACCTGGCTGCATTAGCAAGCATTCAGCCAATCCACGCAAGCTGCCCTGATGAAACGGTTCACTTTGTTAATGGTCTCAATCCGTTACCCATCATAATTGCAGGACTTGTCGTCAGAGCCCAAGAGCTCAGACAAAAAGAATGTGGATTTGATTAATCACAGGGTAAAGTTGTTCACAGACCAGCTATTCTAGTTTACATAAAAGGTACAGACAAAGGTCTCACCTTGACCATTTTGTCCCACCCGCAGGACACAATGATGGGGTTGTTGCTGTTGGGAGAGAAACGCACGCAGGACA